GGATCTAGCTAATGAGTGCGTGACATCACGCATAACGGCAGTAACACATACGGTACACAAATGACTTTACCTTGGCTAGAATCGTCCGCTAAGAAACGTCAAAAAAGTCTTTCGAAATAGAGATCAACCGCATCCTACCTGCACCTGAGCCATGTTGGAAACTTTGGTACGAACGCTATTCGGGGTTTTGCCTAAACCTGTTTGAGAGAAGAATAACCGAGGAAGACTAGAGACGAGTTCCGGGTGGTGCACTTCTCTTTATGGCGGACTATTCAATATTATTAGGGAACTACTTAAGCAAACCACGACGGCGACGGCGACGGCGACGGCAACGTGGACATGGGAAAACAAAAGATCTAATTGGCAGAACGATAGCTCAGCACGTGCGCTTTAAAACCCCTAATATCAACAGTCATGCACGTTGCCGAACAAGACACGCACCTTCAGGGCGTGAAATTAATTTTTTTTCCCGATAGCCACTTTGCTCCTAAATTCTTCAAAGTGGTAGCCAAGTGGAAAGAAGTTGGTCGCCATTTTCAAAGACAAACAAAACCTTTTTTTAAGCTGTCGGCGTTCTAGATAGACCCTCCAAAATTAAATTTGGGAAAAGATCTTTAACGTGCTACAAAGTGGACACTAGGATGGACGATATACAACGTTATAGCAGAGGGGCATTTTGTTGCGCATGCGCCAAGAAAATTTGTTCGGCGCGTTCGGCGCCATTTTGATATTTTCAGCGCGCTTCTGCGGGTTTTCAACTGAGCGATCGACACCTTTCTGTGATATTTTTTGGAGAGGGATGGAAGAGTATGACAAGTTTACTACCATTTCTAACTCTCTGGATACTTGTGGAGTTTGCTGGCTCTTCGGATGAGGATATTTTAATGATCAAAGTGCGAACAAAACGCGAAAAAAAGTCGAAAACTTGAAGTTTGAGATTTGATTTGCTGACGATCAAGATGTGCACATGAGACTACAAACCTTGAAGGTTAGTCTTAAGATGTTGATGTCTTACTTCTATAAATCACGAAGTGATGTGTGGAGGCGATCGTGAGATATTCGTTACGATAATAGAAGGTAGTTTACAATTTGATCTTATTTTACTTCAACTTTGAAATAAAATTACGTTAAGTTCGAGGTGGCCCCCAAGCTTCAAATCACTTCAAATAACATCTTATCTCCTTTCTCTTTGTTGTCCCATTGGACACAAGGCTTAAAAAAATGTTCCAGCTTCAGGATTGAGTTGCTCTTTCTATAACCTTCGGCGAATTCGTTTTTGGGAGGTTGAGGTGGATTTTCAAAGTCATGGCTCACAACTGTCTTTGGCCATTTTGCTCTCCAAGTCTGTTGTACTTGGTACGTAGGCATGCGTCTTAACAACGTTTATAGTCTTGCCTCGATCATCTGCGGTTTTATCTAATTTTTTTGCTGTGTTTTGGTGAGAATTTTTCTGATTGCCCTTTTGGGCTTGAAGGGCTAACTAGAGGATAAACTTCGGTAGAACTTGTTTTATCACATGGCCCCCAAATCTCTCACCACTGTCAGTTCATTGTTTATTTATTTAGCCTTCGGTCTAACCAGTTCATTTACCTCAAAAAAATCCGTGGGCTTTGTCTCATGAGCTTAAACTGGTGCCGTTTTCTTCATGTTCATGTGTTATTCGAAACGGATGGCGTCAGCTTCATTCTGTCTTGTTTATTTCAGTAGAATACTTCTGCCATACGAAATGAATTTTGAGTCGAAGTGTACTATAAAACTCGCAGATTAAAATTATCTAACTTTCTCTGGTTCTTAAAACATGAGGTGAGCGATACAATAAATGAATAATTACTCAAGGGGCTGGAACTCCTTGTTTCTTTAGAATGTGAACTACAGTATTTCTGTCATATTTGAAAACGAATTTCGGGTCAAAATGTCTTCAAACCAGTTTGACTTGTATTTCTCTTTGCCAGATAAGTCTTGATCCTTCAATTTTTATTTCTTAATTGAGACTGATGATTGGAATTAACTATTGTGTTCTCTGCTGTTTAGGGAGATGTGAAGTGACCCCACTACATATGGTCGGTACTATTGACAGAAAGGATAGGTGTGACATTTGCTGTGGCAAGCTGGCATTCAAGAGAATGTCATTAGTACCAGAAGCTTACTACTGGTATAAATTATCAATCTTTTGTTCTCTCCACACAACTTGCCTCAACTAGCTTATGCTATATGCAACTTGTGTCTATACCTTTTTTGCAACTATAAAATTACCAATAAAGTTTTTTGAAAGTTTTGTCCAAATTTCATGGGAAAAGAATATGAGGAGTGATCAGGTGAAATATTGTCCTGTTCCTTAAGAGTGTTTGAGCTTCCAGTTAGAGCTATAAAATTTCTTAAGCGACTGATTTATGATTTTCTGCCAATTAGCACAGCCAAACCCCTGGCTTGAAAACTATTAATTTCTGCAAATAGGCATCCAAGCTGATGCCCATTACTGCAGAATATGCAATGTCAAAATCCCCTTTTGACTTAAGTCTCATTTCTCTAAAATCTGAGAGATGTAAAGCATCCATTTTCATAAAGAGATCAACAAACCTCTTCACATTAGTGTAATCTGACCTCACTGAGTCTTATTTCTGAAAAGAAAAGGCTTTTTTTTTAATTTTTTTATCCTCACTGTTAAATATTTGCCTTACCAGTTCTTTGTTGTTTGGCACGTGTAAGAGTCTTTTCAGACCGTCAAATTGTCACACAACTCTTGTAATTTAATAGGTTGGAGAATAAGGTTGCAAAGAGTGTATATGATTTTTTTGTGCAGTTGAAATGAGAAATGATAGTGATTTTCACTGGGTAATAATTGATTTATTTAACTATTCATCTTACAACTGGAAGCCCAAAGTAGTACTTGTTTTCTTTCACAATTTCCCCACATCATCGATCATATCTGATGATATTGCCAAGACTAATGATTGAACAGACTTTATCTTACTCTGATAAAATCCATAATTATTCCTCCATCTCTAACCAGATGGAGCTACCATATCTCTAGCATTAGCATTGTCTTGCTTTTCTTTACTTGACATTGACCTTTTTTATTTTGGTAATGGGCCCTGCCGGTTGTGATTCATGTCAAAAAAAAACTTTTGAAACAAAACATAAACCTCTGTTAACTTTACATTTTTGCTAAAATTGGAGGTACACTGCACTAGCAGTACAGTTGAAGCTCTAAAAAACGCTTACAGAAAGGCGAGTACTTCAAATGATCACTGATAACTTGAGATAGCAATGACACGATAAAAGTATACTATCCAATTCTTTTGTACTCTTCGACAGGCCACTTGCATCCTTCAAAAATAACATCATCTTCATCGATCGCCCAGACAATCACGAGACAAGACTCGAACAATCTTTTGCATTCTGAAAATAACTTCCTTCCACACATCACACAATAATTTCAAGGATTTGCCGCTTCCATCTACGTTACAGAAGAAAAAGTGAGAAGAAAGGTTGTCTCAAGTACTCGAAACATTGTTTTTTCCAACGTATTTTACTGCTTCTTTTCTTTCGTGATTCTCGAGAGGGAAACCGGTGCAGGCGCATACCAGCGGTTTCTCGTATCAAACTAAAATTTACCGGACATGCGCAACAAAATGCCCCTCTGCTATGCCTGGCATATTTTTATTCCGAAAAGGACCGAGAACTAATTTATTTCCCTGCAAGAACATAAACAAATATGGCCGACGATTCGAAGATCAGCGTTGCTCGTGTTTAACTATTTCAACATGGCGTCTCGTCACTTACTCAACATGGAAAATAAGGGATATTCTGGCGCGTTGGGAACTTTTTTGATGAGAGGAAATGGCAATTTTACAGGATATTTGGACGCTTCGAACTCTGTAGCAGTCAATTCGATCGAGAGCAGTTGACTTTATTGATGCACTTTCCTGTAATAGGCGAGTGTTTGGGATGGAGAACGACGGATTTTGAAGAACTGTATGGCGACCTAAGTCAATAATCAATGACAAAAGAACTGGCTCGGGAAGTAAGTGGTTTTTATTTATCGAGTCCCTGTGAGGTTTGATGAATAGCAGAATCAGTACTGAATATGTTTCGATCGAGAGCAGACGGGACCATGTTCATTTCCATATTGCTGAAGTTGGCTGGATTCGCTGGGCTGGATTTAAATATTTTAGAGTTATTCTCTTGTCAGTCTCTTAGAACTCGAGACGCGTATGGAAAACATGCTCATTATCAAACTGATTTTGCACGCCAGAATCCATGGAAAATTTATTTAAACGAACTAGAAAATAGTAATCAAAACATAGAACAGTTTGGAACAACAAATAATGCAGTTACAGTTTTATAATTCCTGTGGGGTTAAACTGAATATGCCTCGTGTGGAAGAATATTATCGATCTTCCTTTGATTAAGCGCGTAAGTTTAATGTGGACTCTCTCCATATGAAAGCTAATCAAGCTGCCTCATAACAGATGACAACAGATGATATTGATATATTGTTACCGCTAGCTTCAACGTGAAAACTTTGAGCACTGAGCATTTTAGCTTGAAAGTAATTGTGTACAGACAATTCCTGGAATCGGAAACAAAACATTGATGTTTTCTTTATTTACACGATTAAAACGGCAAGTGATTGAATCTTTGCTGTCAGTTAGTAAAAATACCAACAATCTTTGAAATGTAGTATGTGTAGACAAAGGAAGAAACCTTTGTAACACTTTTCCTCTTATTGTGCCATGCTGCATTGCTTGCCAAAAAAGTAATTGTTTTGAGTTTATTTTCAAAGGGAATGTATACCATCAAATGAGTGATTGTATTAAGAGCAGGATTATGTTTTGTCTATGGTCACACTGAAGCAAATTAAAATTATTGAAAATTTTTCCTAAGCCAAAAATTGGGAATAATTTTGCAATTTCCAATTTTTGGCGGCAGCCACATCAAACTAGTATCCCGTGACCAAAACTTCATTGATTGACCCATATGTCAATCACAAACCCATCTCCCTTTATTAAAAGATAAAGAAAAATTCTCGCTCAAATTACTGGGTAAGAATGGATTGTTGTCGAAATGTTTTCTTTGCAGCTATCTGTTTTTTGTGGAATTTTGCATTTCTTTCTCAGCAAAACAACATAGTGTTTTTTTATATTGTTGGTAAATTATCAGTGGGCTTCTATGCAGCTAGTTTCAGCTTTAAGATGTAGAAGGTGAAGAGTTTGCTTAATTGTTAGGGAAGCCTTATGAAATGGTGGAGGGGGAACCTTGTGGTGGACTGGCATCCCATCCAGGGGGGAGTTGTAATTATCCTATAGTTACTTTATACAAAGGAAACCGGGAGTCTCTGCTAGGGAGGCCACTAGGCTCAAGTACAGACCTCTTTTTACGCCACCAAGAACACTATACCTCTGATCTTCCAGGGTACGTTCTTTACAGAAGACATGTCTTTATGGCCCCTGCCACTCCATCAAATCCTTCTACTAAAGGTTGCCAGAGCCACTTACCAGGAGTAGATTTATATGCTAAAAATACTACATTTGAGCTTAAATTTTACAAACATTATCCAGGTACGATGGAATAAAAGCACATCCTTGTCTCATTCATAAGCAATGCTACGTACTCCACAGGTGTCAAATTTATCAAATTTTGTGTTCAGAATTACTGTTGGCTTTGATATTTTTAACATAATGTAAAACTAACATTATATAACATTATATAGCATTGTTTTCAACCAACAATTAATTTTTTTAGTTTTGATCTGAGCAATTAAAAACATTATTGTCTTGTTTCCGAGGTTTCCGAGGAAGGATTCTTCACTTCATGCCTGGGTCCTTATGTACATTATTCTGCTTTATGGAAAATAGCAGTTAACTTGAGCAGGAAAAATCCGATCAGCCCAGAAAGGCTAGAAAACAATTGTGCTTAGAAATAACAGTTACCTCCAGCTGGAAAACAAAAAAGACAGAACAGCTTGCAGGGGCTGGACAATACAAGTAAGTACTGGAAAAGAATATTATTCCTTGCTGGTAATCTCAGAACAGCTGCGTGGAGCTGGAAATTAAAAGTGCTGAAATACAACAGTTAACTCCTGCTGAGAAACTGAGAACAGCTTAGAGGGGCTGGAAAAATAACAGTGCAGGAATACAACAGTTATCCACTGCTGGAATTCAGAAACAGGAAACTTTTAAATACTATCATGCTGCAATACACTGAGCATGCAATAATATCTTCCATTGTCCCAATTCCAGTTACTTGTAGAGAGGTCATCACAGAGCCATTAAATAGGATCTGTTTTACTAGTTATGTACAGTTTGCAATACATTCATGGAAGAAAAAATCTTAACTCTTTAACCCCTGAGAGTGACCAGCTTCTAATTTCTCCTTACAATATCACCCCTGAATCAAACATTAAAGTCACGAGAATCATGGATATGACCAACAACTTACAAAGCTCTTGATTTTTAAACAAATTCTCCTCGTCAGCACCTTAGGAGATGTATAGAGAATGGTATGGAGAATATGCACACTGATGTCAGGGTGTAGAGGGTTAATCATTAAATGTATTTTTAAGGTAGCAATCTTATAAAGCTATTACTTATTCACAAATACTATATTTTATTTAGCAGATTGTAGCTTCAATAGATGCCGAAAATATGTTTATGAAAAACTGGCAGATACTGTTTTGTGCATTGTGCTGGTGAAGACAGCAGTGCAAGAATAGGTGAAGATGGAATCAAGAAATGCAGCACAGGAGTGAGTCCATTTTGTCCTGATAAGTATGAATCAGGGGATTTTGAGGAGGATTATGAAGATACGGAAGATGATCCATTTGTTTTCCCCTCCTCTTTCCCCATTAGACATTCAACTACTGGACAAAGACACAGAGTTGTCAAATGAAAACAATATTCAAGGTAATTAATATGTTGACCATTTTCACTCTTTGTCTCTTTGTTTTTGTAAAATGAGTCTTTTACTATATTGTTCCATGATTATTCATCTATATAAACCTTGTTTTTTTTTATTTGCTACAGAAAGAATTGTTGTGCTTTTTTACAGGCAGTGAACCAGATGATAAAGATTTTGTCCTGTATGAGCTACTCAGGCCTCCCTAAGATGCTTCTTATGAGGTATGCAGAATTTGTGAGTGATTTATGCTTTTCTTCTGCTTAGGTTTTCTCTTATTTTATTATTATTATTATTATTATCATCATCATCATCATTATTATTGTTATTATTATTGTTGTATACTATACAGAGATGTTCTTGTAACATGTTAAGTAGTTTAGGGGAATATCATTATTATTATTTTCATTATTTTATACTATGCAGAGATGTTCTGCCATCATTATGAAATGTGGAGAGACTGGAAATGGAGGCAACTTTAGGAGAAAGACTTTTAATTTTAAATAATATCAGTAAGGCAAGCTATTTGGCACAGTGTAATACTTATATTTAAACACCTTATGGGTCATGTGTTCACTCTAACAGTTTCAATTGGGTTTTGAAGCATGCGTAATTCATCTAAAATTCCCCTACTCCAAATTGTGAATGGTACCTAGACACGGCCAGAGAACATCAACAGAGAATGTGACCTTTTAAGTATGTACACATCAAACCCATGAATTTGTCCACAAAACCTCCTTTGGAATTGTTAAGTTCCAGAGTTTCACATCTAGTGCATTTCCAAAGCAGTAACATGTTAAAAAATGACACAAAGATTTAAATTGCAAAGAATTTTTTTAAACCCTTGACATTTACAGTTACCCATATAAAAAAGAAATCTTCCCAACAATAATGAATGAATGGGTGAATGAAATAGCCTTGACTCCTCAATCTGGTGTCAACTACTTCATTTTACTCAAAAGTATAGAAGGGCAAATTGGAAGGACAGAAAGAGTTACTTTCTGTAATCTGTGAAATAGTATTGAACAATTAGAGCCAAATAGTTGCAAGTAAATAAAAGATAGAATGGATTTATTTTATATTAGTGCACTGTAGTCTACTTTATATTTCACAAATTCCGAAAAATCACTATTTCACCTGAAGTTATTTGCTTGAATTATTGGTACTGAAGATGTCTATTATCCATAGAGGTGTTGCATGTTCAAGTACAGCTGAAGCTTTTTTTTTTTTAACTATCCATTTTTGTTCATTAGATGAGCAATTTAAGCTTGAATTTTGAGTTAGATGAATTATGGTTTGCTAATGCACCTAGTAATTAGAAAAAATATTTAGCACCAATCACTCCAGCCTGAATGACACAAAAAAGTGTTACAAACACTTACAGTGTATCCTATTTATCAAGAGAATTTTGTCCACAAAGGATATCATAGCAGGATAAAGGTAACCAAAATTTATGTGCAACATTAAAAAAGGAACAACTAGAGTGATTTTACTTAACCCATGAAACAGTATGTAAACAAACCTGTATGACACCAGTATGTTTGATTGTTGGATCACCCCGTACTGTGTATGAAAACATAACATGAACCAAAAATTTTTGTAATGCACAGTAGTTTATGACCAATTTCACTGGTTGGATAAAATCACTCTTTATATTCATCTACAATATCTTGTCAAGGAATACACTGTGACAAAGTTTTGACTTAGCATTAGCATGAATAATAGTTATTACTCAATTGTCTTTCGTGATGCACCCCGATGATGCACATTGGATCACCCCGTACTGTGTATGAAAACATGACATGAACCAAAAATGTTTGTAATGCACAGTAGTTTATGACCAATTTCACTGGTTGGATAAAATCACTCTTTATATTCATCTACAATATCTTGTCAAGGAATACACTGTGACAAAGTTTTGACTTAGCATTAGCATGAATAATAGTTATTGCTCAATTGTCTTTATTCGTGATGCATGTTAATAATGACAAGAAAGTAATGCTTGTTAATATTGTCGTCTGTTAAAAATTTGATTAAATCTGAGTTACTTAAGTTTGGTTTTCTTTTCTTTTCTCGTATAAGCATCCCACTTTTTGGACAGATGTCTCTCTGGAATGAGGGAAATTGGGAAAATTTGAAAATTCCTCATTGCCTGAAAACATTTTTAACGCTAAATTAACTTAAATTCCAAGGGTGTGAGTATTATGCAGACCCTTCTCAACAATCAGAACATCACAGTGGTGAAACATAACACCAATACTAGCAGACTGATCAATATTTATAGGGAAGGCTACATCCTCTTTTCCAGCTAAAAAATCTCTTCAGGCTCAGTGA